GTTGTCCGACTAATTTATTTTTTTATTTTTAGTAGAGACGGGGTCTTGCTCTTGCTCAGGCTGGTTTCGAACTCCTGAGCTCAAACAATCCGCCTGCCTCAGCCTCCCAGAGTGCTAGGATTACAAGCGTGAGCCACCACGCCCGGCCCTTCCACCAATTACTTTTCTAGTACAATAGCGAAGGGGGCAGTCACTGGGATTGAATTTATGAGATTACTCATTGAAAATTAGCACAGAATTCTGCCTGCTAAGGTGTTATTTCCAATTTAGACATAAGCTAGGGAGAACTCATTTGCTCCCCTCGTGGGCCTTAATCCCAGGTCTCTTTTGCCTACTTCATCATCAGAGAGACATTGCTCTGGAGGTGGTGGTGGAGCATAGTCGTAGTTCCACAAAGACTTCTGGTTAACTTCTGATTCTACTGAGCTTTCCACCTCCTGGATCTGCTCTTCCTGTATCAGCTCACGGTGTTTCTTTTTCCTCTTTCTCCGAGCACTCCGCCAAACAGATGGGACATTCTTCCCTGGTCCAAAAAGACGTAGAAAGCGTAGTACCTAAAACACAGAACACATTACTATGCCAGATAGGAAAACAAAAGCATCTGAGCCTGAAAACTCCCTTCAACTGTGAGGGAGGAATCAAGGAGTGCTGCATTCAGATTTATAACATCTAACACAAATATAAAGAAGTGTCCTGTAATAATCTGGAATAGCTCTTTTAAGGCAATAGGACAATTTCTAATGAGAATAACATAAATTGCATTTACTATCAATAAACACAACTTCAAAAAAGACCTAATACAGTGTGAAGAGCTCTTATATAGCAAATAATATGTCATTAAGTAAGGAAACCCTTAGCTCTTATTCATTCTATATTTAGCATCTTAATAAGAGAACCTGGTATTTGGAAGAGGTCAGTGGTTTGCAATGCGGGCATTCTCCATACAAAGTACCTTTCCAGGCCGAAATTCTGGGAAAAGTTCTGTGACACTTGGCAACAGCTTGGTGGCATCATGCTGCATAATCCCGGCCAACGGTAGAGTCAGCTTCCCATCCTCAGATTCTGCCTGTGTTGCTTCCTGAGGTCCCATCTCAGATTCTGAGTCAGAGGAACTACTGAAGTCCACTTTCTCTGAGGCCAAAGAGGAAGGGGCAATGATGGAGGGCAAGATGATGCCTTCTCCATCTTCAGACACTGCAACAAGGAAGAGAAACCCCTTTGGCATGTAACTGTGAGCATATTTCTTCAAATTCAGCCAACACCCACTCTAGGCTATACGCATGGCTCAATGGCAGGGGATATAGTCCCAAGCACCCAGATTACTAGTATGCAACCCAGAAAACTCATTCCGACTCATTATCTCCCAGCATCCCCAACTCACCTTGTACCTGGTACCCTAGGGTTGTGATGAGAGAAAACAAACACTATTACTACATTTACTACTTTCTGTAAGTGACAATATTGTAACCAATGGTGTGACCAATAGCAAAATCATACGATACTTTATGCCAGCCAGGCTCTATCATGTCCAGTTCAGGGACCCATAAGGTGGAGAATTTTTTTAAGCCCACAGGATAACAATGAGATTGTTTAGTATAAAATAAGATCTATGACACAAAGCTAACAGTTGATATTTAGCCTGCAGACTAAAAAAGGAAATGGCTTAAAACTCCAACAGGAAGAATTCAGGTTAACATAATCCTCAAAATATGGGAGATCAAAGACACTTACTCTTCCCCAATCTTCTAACTGAGGACAGGGTTATTACCATTACAGGCATAGGGCTAGGTGAGATGATCTCTGAAGATCCTATCAGCCTTTGAAATCTCTGAATATCTGATAATTGATGCTATATGGTTTATACACATTCTAGGGCACCTTCCCTATTTAACCATTTCATTTAAAAGAAAGCCACCTAAACAGTTAGTTTCCAAATACCAGCATGCAGATCAGCTGCATCAGAAACTACTTGGAGAACTCTTTAAAATTCTAGGACTCTACTCTAGATCTTCTGAACCAGACTCTCCAGGGGTA